CTCCGTGAAGAAATCGTCAATCTCAAGACTTTGTTGCTTGCGCATAAAGACTGCCCAGTCTCCCAGGCCCAAGGGTTGGGTCCTCTCATGATGAATGGCATGTCGGCCGGATTTGATGCGCATCCATACAACATCCCTAACGGTATGATGCAACCTGGAGCACCTATCCCTGCTCAGGGGCTACGACGGTAATGAGTCCCTATGCGAGACCATGATAATATATGATGGGTCGTGTTCATTCGGTTGAAGAACGGCCGATATTCTTTGAATTCTTTTTCTTGCGTCAGGAGTGCAGGCGCCAACGTGAGAGTGTGTGGCGCCTTGTCTGCCTGCTACCTCTTGCTCTTATTATTTGGCTACGCGCCACCGGCATGGATAGGTGTTAATGATGTATACGATTTCTAAAAACGGACGGCTGAATTTGAAGTGGAATGGGCATTACTTGATCACCAGAAGGTGCAAACTTGGCGCAAAAGCTTGGCTGCTTTCATTTTTCCATCACTTGTTCTCTCTTTCTTTTCACTTCGACCCTCAAGAGCCCTCGTCCTGTCTGGCATTTGGTACTTTCAGGCTAGGGTGGTGTATTGTGTACTCATTATCTTTTGCTTTCTCTTTTTCACTTTTGCTATCCCCTTTGCTATGAGGGCTTCTCTTCGTCTGTCTGATACTTGCGGGCCACTGGGTGTTTGCCTTCGCTATTTTTTGTTGCTGCGAAACACGGTACTGGGTGGCGTACTGGAGGCTTCTTGCTATCGTTATCTTTTCATGCTAGATGCCATTTAGCGTCTAGGGAATTTGCTGAGCTTGAATTCCAATTGATACTTCGATCAAAAACTGCGACACCTGTAAGAATGTGCGTAATCAAGACAGTAGTCTGTAATGTACTTGATAGATTGACGGTCTGCAATTGGTGATCAGTAACGGCGTGCTTGGCAGGACGCGGTGGATTTAGGTTCAAACCGTACAAACGGGTCAAACAAGACAACAACATCCTTTCCATACGCGGGTCACCCAGTCTTCGGCGATGGGCTCCGACGCAATTGATACCTAAACACGTCAAACTATATGCCATAGTCACTACTTCCAGGTCTTCCTCTGACTGGTGCGGGACGCCATGCCCTAGACTCCGGAACTCCAGCGAATTGGCAGGCCATCCACTTGTGTTCGACCATTAACTTCTCGCCGCGTCTAACCTCGAAAGGCGGTATTCTGCGCCAGCCGACCTATAACCCATTGTCTCATGGTGGGCTGCGAGCTGTGAACTACCCAAGAACAATTTGAACCCCAAGAGATCAAAAGAAAGGGTACAATCCAAATACCGGAAAGCTCTACAATCGAGCTAAAACCAGGCCCCCAAAGAAGCATGTCCACCCGCCAACCCGCGCGCCCGCGGCGCATCGACGACGCCCTCTCGCAGCTCGTCGACTCCCTTACCCCTCCGCTCTCATTTTCCGATATCGACGATGGCTACTCCGACGACGCAGAAGAAGCCCTCGCAGCAGCAGAAGAACGACGACACCAAGACATCCTCGAGCGGTCATGGCGCATCCTCGACACCTACACGAGCGCCGCCAACAACGATCCGGCCTCGCCGCCGGGCCCCGGAATAAACAGACGGGGAAGCTTAGCAGGCGGGGAGAACATCAACAACGCGTCGGACCTGATCAAACGGAAATTACTACGTGAGAATGCGAGCCCCGATAAGGCGGTGCGGTTCTCGAATCTTTACTCGCGCCTGTTGACGCAACCGGTGCTGTCGCAGAAGTGGGCTATCTTGTACTTGCTTTATCGGCTCTCTGGGGCGGATGATCATGATGGGTTTATTATGGATGATGAGGTGATGTTGGAGGCGAGGAGTCCGCCGGTCGAGCCGGCGAACTTGCAGAATGTGTTGTGGAAGGGGCAGAGGACGAAACAACAGGGTTGGGGGGCTGGTGATCAGTCGGATGAGGAGGGGCCGGCGATTAGTTCGTCGGCGTCTCAGTTGCCTGGGAGGATCGAGAGGAAGGCTTCGGTGCGACGGCAGGAGTTGTTTGCGGATAAGGAGCGAGAAGCGGAGTTTGATGGGGGGTTGCAGACCACGGAGAAGCCTCGAGAGACTCGGGTTACTCGTAGTCGGGCGAATACTGGGGTGAGAGAACCGTTTAGTGATGATCAGAAGACGATAATGCCGGATCCTGGTCTGGAGAAGGAGCAGAAGCCTACGGGACCTTTGGAAGATGGTCTTCTTCGTGATTTACCGTTTAATTTGCAGGGGTTGTCGTCCTCCAATCTGCAGTTCTCCTCATCGTCCATCTTGAAATTGCCGCCGTCACTGCCCTTGCCGGTCATTTCGCTTTTGAACTCCCTTGCAGAGCCCTGTCTGTTATATCGTGGGTTGTCGTCCTTTGTTGAGAGCTCGGGCGGTGGTCTTTTGAGCCAGAGCTTGCGGGCAGCTCTCTCGAATGAGCTCCGTTCGTATCTGGGCCTAGTTGCCACATTGGAGGGAGAGATGCGACGGGCGTTGGCGGCACCTGCAGATCCCAATGATCCTAGAAGTGCCTCTAAGAGTGGTGTGACGTTGAAGCGATGTGTTGTCTGGACGCGAGATGCAACCATGGCGCTGCGGTTGATGAGTCTTATTGTTGAGGAAGCTCAGAGTATGTGCTCCGATTGTGAGAGGACTGTATGCAAGCTAACGTTGATTTTGCAGACAAGAAAGGTGGTCAATTGATCTCTCTGATTCATGGCTTCTCGACTTCTCATGGCGACCCGTTTGTATGCGCTCTGGCAGAAAAGCTTCTCAATCACGTCACCCGGCCCTTCTACGATATGCTCCGGCTTTGGATCTACGATGGCGAACTATCCGACCCCTACAAAGAATTCTTCGTTGTCGAGCCCGAGTTTAGGCCCAGTACGGACCCACGTCGCATTGCGACCAGTGTTTGGGAGGATAAGTATAAGCTTGACGATGAGATGGTGCCCTCCATCATCACACAAGATTTTGCTAAGAAGGTGTTCCTTATTGGAAAATCGTTGAATTTCATACGATACGGCTGTGGAGACTCGGGGTGGGTCGAAGCCTACTCGAAAGAAGCCTCCAAGGAACTGCGGTACGGCGATACGGCTACCCTAGAGTCCTCAATCGACGAAGCCTATAAGACTACGATGGCACGGCTGATCTACCTTATGGACGATAAGTTCAAGCTCTTCGACCATCTTCGCGCACTAAAGAAATACCTATTGCTCGGACAGGGTGATTTCATTGCCTTGCTGATGGAGTCATTAGCATCCAACCTCGACCGGCCAGCTAATTCACAGTACCGGCATACACTGACTGCCCAGTTGGAGCATGCTATTCGAGCCTCAAACGCGCAATACGACTCCCCAGATGTCCTCCGTCGACTTGATGCCCGCATGCTAGAACTCAGCCACGGAGAGATTGGCTGGGACTGCTTCACCTTGGAATACAAAATTGACGCCCCAGTAGATGTAGTCATCACACCCTGGGGCTCCACTCAATACCTGAAGGTCTTCAACTTCCTCTGGCGTGTGAAACGAGTCGAATTCGCCCTAGGCAGCACCTGGCGACGATGCATGACCGGCGCGCGCGGCGTCCTAGGAAGCGTCAACGACAAAGTCGGCTCAGACTGGAAACGAGCAAGATGCGTAATCGCCGAGATGATCCACTTCGTGTGCCAACTCCAATACTACATCCTATTTGAAGTGATCGAAGCAAGCTGGGACCAACTGCAAGCCTCCATCTCCAAGCCCGGCTGCACCCTAGACGACCTAATCGAAGCCCACACCAAATACCTCAACTCCATCACTCACAAAGGCCTCCTCGGCTCCTCCACCTCCTTCAAAAACAACACCACCTCCTCTTCCTCAACAAACGCCAAACAGCAAGAAGAAGGCTTCCTCACCCAACTCCACCAAATCCTCAAAATCATGCTCGCCTACAAAGACGCCGTCGACGGCCTCTACTCCTTCTCCGTCGCAGAATTCACCCGCAGACAAGAACTTAGCGCCAAAATCGAAACCCGCACCGCCCAAGGCCGCTGGGGCATTACTGACCGCGACCTCCGTCGCCCCCTTCGAGGCCACAAGGACTCCGTCTCCTCCTCCATGTCCCCGTCCGTCGCTGCTTACACGCCAAACCTCGCCGGTGGTGGTGGCGACGACTTTGGCATCGGCACCCCTTCTTCCCTCAATCCCCACGACCTTTCGGCAGACGACCACATGCTCGCTTCCCTGCGCGTCCGCCTCCGCGACCTCTCTGCGGAGTTCCGCTCCCGTCTCAACGTCCTACTAGGCGATCTTGCCTACCAGCCTGATGTGGACATGCGGTTCCTGGGCGTCGTCATGAACTTTAATGATGTGTATGAACCCGTTCGGAGACGCAGGACCGCGGGCTCCAGTTCGCGTGACAAGGAGAGGGCGAGACGCAAGGCGGCCGCTGTTGCGGCTGCTAATGCGAGTGCTGCTGCGGAGGGTAATGCATCGTCGTCAAAGGAGGCGAGGAGAGAGAAAGAGAGAGAGAAAGCGGAAAATAGCGGGACTGGGAGCGCTACTGGGTAATAAGTTGTAGATGTTTGTTGTGAGACTTGGGCTGTATATCTATTCCCCTCCCTCAATTGAGGAGGCATTTTGGTCTGCGTGTGTTTGACTGTCTAATTTGTACGAGTTCATGGAGTCAAGGATGGAAGTATGGATGGCATGGTACGGGCTGGATGGGAACTGAAGCGAAGTGATGAATGCATAAAATTCATAAACGAGAAATCATAACGATCTCATGTATAGTCAATCAATTTTATTAGAGCAAATAGATTGTATGTAATTACATGTCCCTCCCGAGTAGTTATATTCCTAAGTAAATTCTTGTAGTAGGTAGATAACTAAGAAAGCGGAGATAAATCCAGATAAGTCCACTTAAATTTTATCTCCGCACCCTCACGTGGAAAATTTCCCCAAAACTTTCTGGCGACCATCAATCCTCAACCCATACACCTCACAATCTCTTTTTCTCCACCACTGAAACACGATTACTTCTTCCGTTGTACTCCCACTGTTATTATATTTGGGACAACGCGACTCATATATACACAATTTTGTCTAATATTGTCTATTGCCCGGTCCGCGAAATCGAACGATTCTTACTACGATACCGTCGCATCGCTCAATGTCGAGCAGCCCCCAAGAATCTCCACAACAGCACAAAGAACAACAACAACATATTCCGGCTTGGAAGAAGATGGGTCTGAAACTCAAGAACGCTAAGGATACGGTGGAGGGGGCGGAAAAGAAAAAGGGAGATGTGGAAACAGATTTTGAGAAGAAGCAGGATCGCAAGAAGAGCAAGAAGAGACGGCTTGAGAATGATGATGATGAGGAGGGCAAAGAGGTGAAGGAGGAGGATGCCGAGAAGAAGAGAAAGAAGAAGAAGAAGAGTGTGTCGTTTTCGGAGGACGCGAAGAAATTGGATGGTGATGCGGACGATCAGAAGGAGGAGCAGGAACAGGCTCAAGAGAAGGATACAATGCAGGTTGATGCTGAGGGTAATGGTGATGATGATACCGAGGATAAGGCTGATGATGAAGGCGAGGGAAAGAAAAAGAAGAAGGAAAAGAAGAAGAAGAACAAGAAGCAGGACGGTTCGAATGATGCTTCATCCACCACGACACCGAGAATCCACGAAACGCCTATCCTTTCCTACCTGAGTCTGTACCACAAGCATCGGTCGGCGTGGAAGTTCCAGAAGAATCGCGAGACGCATCTCTTCAAGCATGTTTTGTCGCTGGAGCAGGTCCCGACACTGTACAATGCGGCTTTGCTTGCCTATTTGCAGGGGTTGAAGAGCGAAGGTGCGAAGTTGCGGTTGCGACAGATTGCCGAGGAGGTCATCAAGGCGGAGGTTGATGCTGAGGAGGATCAACCTAGTAGTGCTCCTGCAGAGACGGAGGAGTCGAAGGAGGGCTCTTCTTCTGAGGCCAACGAGAGCACCGCGGCGACGGATAAGGCCAGTTACGACAAGGCTGTTGGTGTCTTCCGGACACGCTTGGCTGCGGGTCAAGAAGATATCGATTGTCAGGATGTTACTGCGCAGCTCAATGCGGAGACACTGAAGAAGTACGAGAATAGGGCACGGGCTGAGCTCATTCTGTTTGCTGTTAACGGCACGCTGTTCAATTATCACAAGCCCAAGCCTGCTGCGCAGAAAGGAAAGAAGGGGGCTCAGGCCCAGCCTGGCAAGAAAAAGAAGAAGAACCGTACTGCTATCGTTGAGATCTCGAGCAGCAGTGAGAGCGAGAGTTCTAGTGACAGTGATAGCGACAGCGACAGTGACGATGAGAAGAAGACCAAGGCTAAGCCTGCAGCTGCTAAAGCCTCGTCGTCTAAGGACAGCAGTGACAGTGATAGTGACAGCAGCAGCAGTGATAGCGACAGCGATTCGGATAGCTCAAGTTCGAGCGACTAGCTTTGATGACACTTTTGGATTGTCGGGTGCTCGTGCTTTCGTATATTGGCACACCCTATCAATGACCTGCTGTTTGATCTTCATGTCACCAAAAAAGCGAGATGTTTATAGAAATTATATAGACCATCATGTCCAGTTATAGACATTGCTATAGCTCGGTCAATCACAACTCTGGTAGTTGCCTAACTGCTATTGCCACACTGAGTTTTGTCATGATAAAAAGTAGATGGGTAGTAGACAATTTATAGTATAGTAAGTACTTTCTAAGTAGATGCAAGGCTCTTTTAGTGGACTGATTCTACCTCCCTATGACAACAGCAGTCGATAGATCCTTCCAAACTAGTGAGAATGACTTTAAAGCTTCTGGTAAGTTTCCTAGAATTAATACTGGATCACAGCTAGGTTGTCTTAAACCACTCCGACCATTAGATAGTATATCGTGATGACAGTACTGAACTAGTATATATAGTATGAAGTAGCACCAAGATCTAAGTACTAATCACCGGTACTAGCGATATTGCATTAAACAGATACAACAAGGAAATCCGGCAGACAACATGGAAGACACAAAGCTCAAAGTATAAAGTCAAGAAGAACAATCTCTATTGGTTTAAGAAGAGATCGTTGAGCGATGATAGATGAGCGGCACAATGATGAAGCCGTGAAGGCGGTGACGCTGGAGCTTACTCAAACGGGGACCCAAAGCTTAGAGCTCCGGCCAGGCACCCTCTGGCACGCGTCCTCTGCTAACGTCCCTCCTCCCTCGTCCTCGATCCTTCATTCCCCCATCTCGATTCCATTTTCATTTCGCTATAAGACTAGTTAACTTCCATTGTAATCTCGAATCGAGTTTGATATACCACCGCCATTATGTCTGGTGAGACTTCCCGGACCCTCTTGACTGAACCGGCTTCCATGACTTCATCGATAGACTGACAACCTCTGTGATCAGGAAGTGCATATGACAGACACATTACCATCTTCTCGGACTCGGGTCGTCTGTACCAAGTTGGTAAGTGACTCTCTCTTCACAAAAACCGCCTCTCCCCGACGACCTTCGAAGTACTCCGATCACGGACCACGTTAGACCTTCAAGACCGCCTACTCACCATTGATGCCCTCGGCGCTTAGAATATGCCTTCAAGGCTATCACCTCGGCCAACATCACCTCGATAGGTGTGAAGGGCAAGAACTGCGCTGTGGTTCTGTCCCAGAAGAAAGTTGCTGTAAGCTCGTCCCCGCCGCCCGAGACGGCCTGTCGGTCATCCTCTGATAAACATACCAGGACAAATTGATCGACCCCTCCTCCGTTTCGTACATTTTCAGACTTTCCCCGTCAGTGGGCTGTGTGATGACCGGCTCCATCGCCGATGCGCGGGCCAGTGTTGACCGTGCTCGTGGTGAGGCGGCTGAATTTCGATACAAGTATGGCTACGAGATGCCCTGTGATGTCCTCGCAAAGCGACTTGGCAATATCAATCAGGTCTACACGCAAAGGGTATGTGTCACCTGCTTCAAAGATCTTGCCCGGGACATTGGCTGATGGATCACGTTCACTCTCTAGGCTTACATGCGTCCCCTCGGAGTTGCCACGACCCTGGTATCCGTTGATTCGGAGAAGGGTCCCCAGCTTTACAAGGTCGATCCTGCCGGATACTATATCGGATATAAGGCGACTGCATCTGGACCGAAGCAGCAAGAGGCGATCACTTACCTGGAGAAGAAGCTGAAGAACAAGGAATACGCTGACGGCAGCTGGGAGGAAGTGGTGGAGCTGGGAATCACGGCTTTGAGCAATGTGCTGAGTGTTGATTTCAAGAAACACGAATTGGAGATTGGAATCGTGGGAGGGCCACGAGCAGATGGCCAGGAAGGGACAGACATTGGTTTCCGGAGTTTGACGGAGGAGGAGATCGACGAACGACTACAGGCTATCAGCGAGAAGGACTGAGCTGGATTTCATTGTTTTTTACTGGGAGCATCCATGTTGGTAGACGCAAACGATCGATGAACATCATTATTTTTCTCTGATGCCATGAGCTGGCCTGTGTCTGACGAAACTCTATTCCCCCTCCTGGTCGGTTGACTTGCTTTTTGCACCGCTGCTGTACTTGACATCCAAAACCTGGAAAGCCCCCTTGCAGCTACTGTAACCGGGGCTCCTGTATCGGAAAGACCCGTCGCCTGTTCCTCCGCACTGGTGGCGAATATGGGGATAGACAAGCACGGTGCGATAAAGTATGGTCTTTGCGATCTGACAGGCTTAGAGAGGGAAGTTGCTTATCTGCACGTTCCATGCTGCAGCACTTGTTACTAAAGAAAGGGACGGCGGTACCGGGATTATCGATGCAAAGCAATGTCAGACGTCTACTGCTATGATATTTATTGAGCGTGCTATCTGCAAGCTTCAGCACTCAATGGGAAAGCAATCTCTCCGGGCTAGCGTTTCGCACTGAAGCAACGTTGACCATGCTCATTGGAGGAGGATGATGAAACTTGCCACCGAGGAAGCCGGGACGGAGATACTACTACTAGTACTGTTCGTATCCTGCAAGTAGACGTGAAGTGACAGACAAGGAAGGAGAGAGCAACAGCCCCGGATGAACGACGGAAAGGAACTAGTAGTATTCCGTAGTATGGAGTAAGTAGTAAGAACCAAGTCAATGGTGGATTGCGCGAGTAAACTTCAAGCCTGAGGCTGCGGTGTTTGCTTTTCCATTTTCAGCTGGTTTACTCGCCTCTTTGTGGCTGAGCTGGAAGTTGTGGCTTTCGCGGTTTCTTTTTGGCCGCCGTTCTATCTTTGTCCATTTTGCTTCTTTTTTTTCTTTTTCTTTTTCTTTTTCTTTTTTTTTTTTTTTCTCGTTGTTGTACTCTTACTCTTGACGCCCTTGCCTGTTCGCCGTGGGACCGAACGGTGCCTGAACCTAAACCGAGTCAGTGTCAAAGCCAAATCCTTGCGAGGATTTCCCTGCACTGGTACTCGATTATTCCCTTCTTGTCGATATCTCCGTCCCAACTTGCAGCTGATGTGAACTATGAATTACTAGGGTGTGGCGTTTACCGAGGGTGGATGACCCTCATCCCAGCTGGCAGTAACTCGCACTTCCCACTTACATTTTCTTTCTTTTTTTCTTAGTGTGTCTTTTGACAACCTAGAGTCCCGCTACTTACTTACTAGGATTAGTACTAACTAATCATGCCATGGATTGATGGTCCATCTGCTCATGCTTGCCCGTCTCCACTCAGTCTGCAAGATGAACCAAGATCCAGCACTTTTCCCCTAAAACCAAAAAAAGTCAAAATATACTAAAATAATCATAATATAAAATTTTCATTGTGGCTTTATCGGTTTTACCCACTGGTGTGGTCCTTCTGTGACACATGCGGCGATGTATCACCCTGTCCACCTTCTCCACCCACAAGCCGGTGGAGTCTCTCTCTCTCTCTCTCTCTCTCTCTGCCCGGCCCCAGTCTTGAATATCGTTTCTAGTGTTGATTTTCTTTTTTCAATATTCCCACCCCTGCGTTGACTGCTATCGCCGGTTGCCGTGACCCAGTTTTGTGTATCTCTCATTTCCCTTATGCATATGCAGACCCATAAGCATTGATCCCCCTACCTGGACCAGCTGCTTAGCGTCGCGCTTAGATATCAGCCTTAGATCCATTCGCCGTGGGTGGACATCCCAGGCCCTTTCGGACACATGGCTCTCATGGGGCCCGTTTCCTACTATTGATCCACAATGGGTGTCATTATCCAGCTGCAGTCCCTAGCTGTGATGTCCTCCTTTCTCCATCAGCGTCCGTCAACGCAGCCAGCCACTACTCATGATGATGATCCTCTTTCACCATGTTCCCCATCGCCGGGCTGATGGCCCATGGTCATCCAAACTATCCATGGCTGAACGTTAAGCTTAAAAGGATATCCCACCCTCGGCCTTCAGATAGAAATATCATACAAGACATCAGAGCTCGACTCAACAAGAATATAAAGGTCGCCTTGTCTCTTCTAGTCAATTGACTTGACCGTTACTCTAGCACACTCCATTCATTCTCTCCTCTTGGATATAGTTCTCTTTAGTGCCTTTTGTTGCACCCTTCATCTCTTCATACCTTTAATCACTTTTCGGAGGCAACTTCAAGTTTACTACAATTGCAATGGCTGACGGACGTAAGTATTCGACCTCTTCACCTCACCACACTACCCTGGAGTCGTCAATGGCATTGACATGTTGTAGTCAACGAAGCACGTGCCCTGCGGGTGGCCGAAATCATCAACGACTACCGAACTCTACTTGTGCACATCTCTCAGCAGAACGTCCAAATCCCGAATGCAGAAGCCAACGAAGAGGGCTACAAGACGATCAGAGAAGGCCTGACTGCCGCCCAGGCATTGATGTCGTCCAACTACAATCCCAGCATGACGCCTGCCCAGTCGAACGTGGAGACGGAGAAGGCGGAGTTGCAGAGAGTGATTCTTGACGCCAGCGCCCGTCGCTTTCAAGCCCATCGTATCTACCTTCGCGTGGCAGCCGCCAGAAGATGGGCTATCAACCGTCAGAACATCCTGCGCGGACAGCAACCTGGACCTCAACACGCTGCTCAACTCAAGACTGTGAGCAACACGTTCCGACAGGTGAGCAAAACCCTGAGCGTTACGATCATTAAACCATTGGCTGACCCTGAATACAACAAAAGGAAATGGCTCAAGTGACAGACCAATACGTTGTTGCTGATCTCCGGGCTGCAGACACGCGGGCAGGTCATTGGCTTGCCGACGATCCTTCCCTGCCAGTGATCCTTACCTGGATCCGTTCTCACCCATGAATTGCTGGGCTCACGATGTGCAACTTACTATACACCTGATTCTTTCGGGACGACGAGAAGTTGTTGTGTACGGATATATGATTTTCTGAATGGTTTTCGGGCTTACGGCACCAATTTGTTTGGTTATTTCGGTATACCCTTGATGTGGGCGGTTTGTTATCCGCAATTTTGGGCGCAGGTCGCTCGTCATGTTCCGTTTTTTGGAAAAGAAAAGCTGTTTGATTCCCTATGATACGCCTCTTATGTTCGGTTATACTTTTTCTTCTTTGCATTTACCCTTTTTCGGCTTTCATGGTTGATTTGCTACTTTGTTCGGTTTCCCTTCATGTCATGATATCCCCCTTGAATTATGGCTTACGCTAGATGCGATTTAATTGGATATCCCCAGCGAGGGTCTATTTACTCTATTTTTGTTTCTCAATGTGCTTTTTTTGTTGGTAATTATTCCCCTGTATTGCCTTGGGGTTGCTCCGAGCAGCCAGATTATTTTGGGACTATCGATGCAAGTATGCAACCCAAGGCAGGGATGTTGCTGCCTTAGCGGTAGACTAGCGCAATTCCGACACTTTCCTCATTATTGACGGATCAATTTTCCGCTCCGCAAAGCTGAAGCGAACAATCAATCTATCGGTGATAGTACTTGTTAGTCCTTGGCATGTTACGTATTTCTCCTCCTAGCCGAGGGAATTGGTACGACCAATGCCATCCACATGGGCAACGGTCTACTTCTGCGACATGCCACAATGATGTCGAAAGAGAAGGATGTTAGCGCGTGGCTTGCCAGTCGTTTCCTGTCAAGCAGTCGGCAAGCCCGCGCTGTGGACCCGACGGGTTAATGTGGAGAAAGGGGAGAATTTTCGAATAATTATCCAGAATTTTTGAAACAGGAACCTTTTGAGTTTGCTCGGAATAGTAGTAGGTTCCAGTTTGTCCACATGGCTAGGGTTGATGCGGGAAACGGCCTACCAGCTGAATTGCTGGAGTCGAATTTTTCTCATTGGCGTCGAATTTACCGTGTCGAGGGGCGAAACGCTCTGGCCGGAGCGACAGATAGACACGAAACGAGATCCTCACGTTCGACTCATCCAATGACAGCCGCCGGAGTTACCGAAGTGCTGGGTCGCTGCTAAAATCTTGGGTGCAGCTGGTCGAGGACATCCCAGCTGAACTGGATGGGGCGGGGAGGATCCAATGCTGCATGCGCCCGGAAAGCGAAATGGAGATGGGTTGGAGAAAGCAGAAAGTCAAAGATAAATTGAAAAAAATATTAGGGGACTAGCCTCTGACGCAGATGCACGGCGGTTCCCTTGAGATCTGTCCATTCTTCTCAACCATGTTGAAAAGAATTTTTCATCGCAGGTCAAATTCTGATTTGGCAGATCTGCTCCAAATTGCAATGCTGGTGGATTCAAACTGTGGCCGTGCAACCGTGCCCTGCAGTAGTTTAAAGTCCCACGCGCCAATCAGTGCCCCGGCCGTGCGGTAGAGGCAAAGGTTTCAGCTGAGAAGGTCCAGGAAACTGATCCACTCGGTCGCTTTCACGTTCTTAACTTCTTCTTGATCTGTTTCCTGGTCTGGCTTAGGGCTTTCAGTCACTGGCGAGGCGGGGATCCCGTCGGACTTGCTGCCGCTCACTGATCATCTTTCCCGGATGGACCCTCTTGTTTTACGATCAAGGTGATGACTACGTATCCTGGTCCTAACTAATTTAGTTACCTATCTATCTAGTGACTGGGAGTTGATGTCCCTTTCGGTCGTCGATGGGTCCCCAAACCTAGGCCACGAGGTTGCAGGATTAGTGTCATCTGTCACGTTCGGCCAGGATCCATGGTACAACCGGGAATGCTCATTCCTTAGTTTCGTTTCCGCTATTCCTCTCATTCGACCGTGCCTCGACAATGCTTTCTACTCGTTACAGAACTAATAGCTACTACTACTATGGTTGCATCTACCCCTGTCTCCCCGTGCCTCGATCTTGACGAGGATGAGATCGGTAACAGTGATGGTCTTTACAGTCCAGAACAAGCGAGATGCATCATGCGCACGCTCCCACCTCGCATCCTAATTACTTGGTCTGATCGGAACAAGTCATTCAATGCTCCCTTACGTGGCCTATACTTTTAACGCTTCATCACAGAGCACTGGACCATAGAGTTCTTGCTACTTCGATGTTACCCACGGTCATGCCGGACGTCGGGAAGTTGTAACCTCAGCTCCCATGATATCTCCGGAGACGTGAACTACCCCGAGATACATCATGCGCTTGGAAATTTCCCTTAGGAATGTCATCTGAACTGAGATGCACCAGGGACGATCTATGCAAGTCTGGGGATTGGATTGTCGAACCAGGGTCCCTCCCCGATTGCCGATCTCCTTGTTCTCGTGACAGATACTCAGGCACAGATCACTTGAGGAGTTTTAAGCGTCCCCGCCCTGTTCTACCCGGTCTAGTCTCATCTAACCTCCTCGAGAGGTGAACTATCAAGGAAGCACACGATATAGTGTCGTAGCCATGGAGCCCTATACTGCCAGGAAGACTATCTTTTACAATTCAGAGCATGGCATGGTCAGACAAGAAATGACCGACGCCACCGACGGCACATCTTGTGTTTCAAGAGGACTTCACAAGCCGAACATGACAGTGTTCTATTCACTGAATAGAGATATAAATTCGGATTCTTCCATTAGACTCCTGGAGTAGTAGTAGTAGATGCCCATCAGCTTCCTGAAATCCCAGTCAGCCACATTTTGATGATCACATAAGCGCAGACCACCTGTCTCCTGCAGCCACAGTTGCACCGCCGCGATTGACTCTGAGCCAATCAGAAGTCTGAACTGCTGTTATTTATATAGTACTACTTAGTACTTACCATACAGGAGAGGTGACCTAAGGCAGGTACAATCATCCCTGCTGCATCGTTCATTCCTTCCGACTGACTCTTCCCGGGTTCTGCTTACCAGCCTCTTGCATTGCTGGTAAGTGCTTTTGATTCTTGCCGACCATGGCTTTCTCGCGATTGATCCACTGTCTCGTACTTTTCATCGTTGTTCTTATCCTGTCTGCTCGGTACTTTTGGAATGACGCAGCTGTGCTTCCGCTCCAGCCCAATCCTGCACCTACTACCGACACGAACGCTACCATCCCAGCCATGTCTTCTGGTCTGAAGTCCGTGGCCTACTTCGTCAATTGGGTGAGCATGCACTCGATCTTGGCTGTCGTATCCCAACTCGACACGGGAGGCAGTTCCACTCGTATAATAGTAATTCTAATGCCAATGCCTAGGCGATTTATGGCCGCAACTACAATCCTCAGGACATTCCGGCCGACAAGCTGACTCATGTCCTATACGCATTTGCTAACGTTCGCCCGGACACTGGTGAAGTGTAAGCTCTCCACTTCTCTGCAGCACATGGCTGATCACCCCCTTGCCACCGGATCAGCCGCACTGACTTCTCGCCACAGTTATCTGTCCGACACCTGGTCAGACATTGAGAAGCACTACCCCACAGACTCCTGGAATGACGTCGGTACCAATGTCTATGGCTGTGTTAAGCAGTTGTTTTTGCTCAAGCAGCAAAATAGGAAGTTGAAGGTCTTGCTCTCCATTGGCGGTTGGACCTACTCTCCCAATTTCGCTCAAGCCGCTAGCACTGATGCTGGCCGCACTAAGTTTGCTGAGACTGCAACTAAATTGGTCACTGATCTTGGATTCGATGGTATGTGACTGGTTTGTGACAATGCGTGAGACATGATTCGCTAATGCTGGTGATTACAGGCATCGATATCGATTGGGAGTACCCCAAAGGTTAGTTTCTCGGATTGTTGGGGAGATGAGTAACCAGTTCGGTGTGGATACTAAGACGACTACCTACAGATGATACAGAAGCGCAAAATATGGTCCTTCTGCTTCAGAAGTGCCGTGAGGTGAGCTTTCTCCTCGATCGTAATGCGCGCACGCATGCACTAACTTTGTCTAGACTCTGGATGCAACTGCTGGTGCGAACAGGAAGTTCCTTCTCACTATCGCTTGTCCAGCTGGTAAGTGGATTATATTATTTGTTTTACTCGGGACGAGACCAAGTCAGACCCAGTGAATGCTGATCTCATGTAGGTCCTGCTAATTACACCAAGCTCAAGCTGTCTCAGATGACGCCATACCTGGACTTCTACAACTTGATGGCCTACGACTATGCCGGAAGTTGGGACACTGTTGCCGGTCATCAAGCCAACTTGTATCCCTCGGCTGACAAGCCAGGGTCGACGCCATTCTCGACCAATGAGGCAGTGAACTACTACATCCAGAAGGGTGGGGTCCCCTCGTCCAAGATAATCCTGGGAATGCCGCTGTATGGGCGTGCCTTTACCAACACTGATGGACCCGGGACCGCATTCTCGGGGGTCGGACAGGGAAGCTGGGAGCAAGGTGTTTGGGACTACAAAGCATTGCCCAGAACGGGAGCCACTGAATATGCTGATGCAAATCTGGGTGCATCCTGGAGTTATGATCCCACGGCACGCACCATGGTTTCCTACGACACTGTGGCCGTGGGCGAGATGAAGTTGGACTATATCACCAAGCTTCAGCTCGGCGGTGGCATGTGGTGGGAAACCAGCGGTGACAAAGGAGGAAAGACCGCCAACAAAGCTGACGGCAGTCTGATTGGAACCTTCGTGGAAGGGATTGGAGGCGTGTCAGCCCTCGACCAGTCGCAGAACGTGCTCTCCTACCCTGAGAGCAAGTACGACAACCTGAGGAACGCATTTCAGTAGAGCGATTGATACTCTCATCTATCTTTCAGTTTAGTTGAGCAGGCTTTTCTCATTTACATATGGTTTATCTACGTATTAGGTAGTCTAAATTGAGAGCGGTTTCGAATTTTTTTCATTTCTCATTGCTCGGGCACTATGGGACGATCAAAGCGCACACGTCCCGACCTCATCCACCACACATTCACGACCGACATTGCTAGGCGCTACCGGAAAGAAGACATGGCGAAACGATCGACTTAGTCCATTTATTTGGACTCGTCGAAGACGTAGGTGAGGTGGCACTTTCCGCAGTACTGGCGGTTGTGCATAGCGGCCATGAAGATACCAGCACCGCACTAGGAGAGTTAAAGTTAGTAAGATGCGCCAACAGCAAGATTCAGCCATACGGCGGAATATTAGACATACCTCGGGGGAGGGGCACTCGCGGCGAAGACGCTCGATCTTGCCATCACCGTCGACCTTGTAGTACTTGAGGACGGCAAGCTTGGTCTTCTTGTGCTTGTGCTTGATCTTCTTGGGGGTGGTGTAGACCTTCTTCTTGCGCTTCTTACCACCACCACGCAGGCGGAGCACCAGGTGGAGGGTGGACTCCTTCTGGATGTTGTAGTCCGAAAGAGTACGGCCGTCCTCGAGCTGCTTACCAGCGAAGATCAGACGCTGCTGGTCCGGGGGGATACCCTCCTTGTCTGAACAACATCATTAGAATATGTTCCAACTGGATTATGTAGGTCGTGTGTGTATGCTTACCCTGGATCTTGGACTTGACATTGTCAATGGTGTCCGAGGACTCCACCTCGAGGGTGATAGTCTTACCCGTGAGGGTCTTGACGAAGATCTGCATCTTGATGAAGGTCTGGTTTGAGGATAATTTGTTAGTTGGATATTCTACTGGTCTTTTTGAGCAAAGATAGGAGATGAACATCATCGGCGTTTCGCATCTCATCTTCGTTTCTTGATCACATATTTTCGCCCCAGGATTTTTGGTATCTTGCGCGCTAAATTGTGCACACGAGATATTTTTCTGGAATATGTGGAAGAAAATGAAGATGAGATGTCGCAGATAATATTGAATCCCTTTTTTCTTTGTCACATAGTAAAATGTATAGGGGCCTCAACTCACCTCGACAAGACTTGTCTTCCTAAACCTTCGACGATCGTGGTAGGAAAATATCCTCGGTGGTGGTGGGCTTCGTTAAAATCGGTTGTGCGGTCACGTGGTGCCCATATTACCGTGTCGGGCGTAGTGCGGGTGGACCACTCGGATAATCAGCCCTCCGGGTCCTCGGTCATGTGATGGTCTGCGGCTGAGGTCACGGGATGTTGATGTTGCTGACTGATGACTTTGACAACGGTTTCTTGGATACGTCAGTTTTTTGGTGCCTGTATCGCCAGGCAGAGACACGGCACGGAAAAGCCAGGCAGAAAGTACGACTACTAATACTAAAACCAACTAGACTTGGTGCAAAATCCAGCCTCTCAGAGCATCGACGTCAATCTCGTCATCGTCATCATTTTGCCCGCCCATCCCTCCGCTCAGTTGCTAATTATTGATTGAATAACATGCGGACAGGAGTCAATTATTAAATGGGCTATTGCAGAGGAAGGGTGAAATAATGTTTCAAACCCTCACAGGCCACAGGTCGCCTCCTCCCGTCATTTATAAGAGGCAAAATGTGGGATTAGATCGATAATGGAGATAGGGTGGTTGTCTGGACCGCTGGTAGAAGCCAGGCGAGAAGCAACCTCCTTGCAGGTTGCAACTAAACCTGCCGGATCGTAAGCTTTAATTGTGTTCGGACCACTGGTTGCTGCGGCGGGCTGCTAATGCTCCGTGCTGGAACCAGGGCGCGATCCACTGCGCAGGCCAAATCGCCGGGCTCCATGCCAAGGGGCGCTGGTTTCCCTGACGCCTCAGCCGACCCTGTTGCTAGGCCAACCACGCCATTGTTGATCTGAACCGTGGGCGATAGATCGGGATAGCTTCATCATCTCCATCCACCTTTCCCTGGTTCCCACCTCTAAATACCTTAAAAGACTTCCTTGGTTCTTACCCTCCCCATCTTCCCACTACCAATTCGCGTTGCAGGGAAGCTTCTTATAAGGGCTTCGATTGCATCTTCAGTTTTGCGACTTGTCCAGCGCATTTTAGATAGCTGTCGCAAGAAATCTTCCTTTGCATAGATCTAGTGCAGAGGCTGCGTTAATTCCTTAACTGCTGCGCTTGCTTTCGTTCTTTCTTCTGCGTCTTCTTTAACCTTTTTTTTCTTCCTAGCGTGAGTGTTCTAATTGAGGAGATCACCGACTGACACCACTGCAGGGCGGTTCATTACCATCTTGTCGGCCCAGCCGTGTGGCTAGTATTGCGTGAGGTTGGTAACTCTCGGCGCTGGATGTGAATCCTTTGCACAGTAACATGTTGCAGAAAGCTTACGCATTTAAATCCTCCAGATCCGACCAAACACCAAGGTCTGTCAATCCGTCGGTCAAGCACCTTGCGATAAGCGCTCGAAGAAAGAGTCCCTTTTCGCCCATCATGCTGTCCACGGCGCACAGCAACCTCCATGAGCGACATCGACAACACAGGCGGCAGATCTCGACGCCGTCCGCTCTTGATGCCGTGAAAGCCCCCAGTCTTCCGGCGCAAGCGATGCATCGTTATCATGCCCATCGTCGGGGACAGAGTTTTGACAACAGAGCTTTGCGTGTCCAGCGATCGCAATCCATGCAAGATGGTACAACTCATACTACTAACACAACAGTACCGCAGCCGCATCATCCCAATATGCTTGGGGACAGCCAACACCAACGATACCTGTGTGTAGCGCAGCCGTCGTTTCCCCAGCAATCAGCTCCCATGCCCGTCATCACCGACTGCTTCACCCCAGAAGAGGTGCAAAACCTTCAAAGTCACAATGGCCAGGATAGTCAACCAAGTATGGCCTACCTGAATGCGCCCTTCGGGAAGGACGTTCCGCACATGAACATGCACTTCGATTTGATGCAGCAACAACAGATGCACAGCGCTAAGGTTCCGTGCGGATCTGGAACGGAAGGTCAATTTTTCGAGACGGGACTTTGGGACTTTTACCAGCCAACTTTTCCCGGTCAAGCTGATGTAAGGAAGTTATCGGTGCAGTCGGAAGCTACTCCGTCTCAGCACCCGCATACGCCTGAGCACGGCAATACACGTACGTTTATGACTCCTCAGGTCTCTGCTAAGCGCAAGATACTAATGTATTGTGCAGAGTATGCGCCGATTACACCAGCAACAACACCATTCAAGCAAACCGTGGGCCTAGCTCAGTACAGTGGGGACATCCAGTCAGGATCCACCAAAGACCAGGGTAGCGCGATGCCCGGATCAGCCCAGTCGTCGTACATGCAGCGAGCAAAGTCTCTCCAAGGCGTGGCTGGAACTACTTTCACGCAGCAGAAGTTTGATGTGTCCTCCCCCCCGAACACAGCATCATTTGAAGTGGATAACTTTGATACCTTTAACTATGAGCAGGGTTCTAGCTTTGAGGTTCCTAAGTCGGAAAGTCTTTCACAAAGCCAGTATGCCTCGTCGTCAGCATCGTCATCCTTCATGTCATCTCCTGAGCTTGCGGCTATGCCTTGCCCCGAGGACGATGCAAAGACACCAAAAATACCTATTTATCCTGCCACTCCCAACCGTCCGCACCACAGGAAGACGCCCAGTGCAACACCTAGCTCAGCGGCCAAGCCGAAGCTTTCTCCACGCGTCGCATCCATTGATAACTTGAATCTCGACGCTCGCGTACAAGCTTCAATCAAAGAAACGGGTGTCACCATTGACGAGATTGCGTCGTACATTCACGGGCCTGACCCGGAGGACGGAAAATGGGTGTGCCTGCACCCCGGTTGTGAGCGCCGCTTTGGAAGAAAGGAGAATATCAAGTCACATGTGCAGACCCACCTGGGCGACCGCCAGTACAAGTGCGACCATTGCAACAAGTGCTTTGTTCGGGGTCATGACCTTAAGCGTCATGCCAAGATTCATACCGGCGACAAACCCTATGAGTGCCTATGTGGTAATGTGTTTGCGAGACACGACGCCTTGACTCGACACCGGCAGCGTGGTATGTGCATTGGCGGCTACAAGGGTATTGTGCGCAAGACAACGAAACGGGGTCGTCCGAAGAAGCACCGACCAGAGATGGATGAGAGGCAAGACAAAGCATCGAGAACGCGCCAGAGGATCGCAGAGAAGTCATCTTTCGACTCTTCCACATCCGAGTCCTCACGCAACACGCCTCCTTCCGAAGTCTTCGAGAATATGAGTCTCCACGGCTCTAGCCCAGCGGAAGAGATGCCGGTGTTCAACAACCCCAACTACTCGTTGCCACCAGAGGTTTTCACGTTCACGCCTCCCGCATCTCCCGGATACAGTGTGGGAATCAAGCCGTCGCCTTCTCGGGACGAGAGATCGATTACCCCCAGCTCAGAAGACGAAATGCTTCCTTCCTCCCCATCAAAGCGGCCTCTCGAGAGCCTCGTCACGGACTCCAGCTTGCCCTACATGTCTGACCCGGAGACATGCCCATACACAGATGCTTCCGGTGCTGCCAGCCACTCTCTGTCGTCGCCTCATGCCGCTCCCACCCTGTCTGAATCATCCAACGGATCTGATCTCGACATCTTCATCAGCCAAGATTCGACCTCTAGTTTCGGAAAGCCCGAATTCGGAGACCTGGCTGATTCTGACATGGCGCCATTCCCTGACTATGTGAACACGACGTCCTTTGAAGGTGGTCTAGAACTGTTCCCCAACAAGCCCTTCTCCTCGGGCCCCGTCATGGCCGACGACTTCTTCTTCCAATTTCAAGTGGACGAACAAGCCTCGGATGTTATGACCAAAGAATTCTTCATGGATTAAAGAGCAACGACCATAACGGAACAAGAACCTGAATAACGACCGACAAGAAAGATGACACGGAAAACGAAAAACATCAAACGACCGGCGAACTTTGACGATGCAACGACTCAGGCTTACCAGCCGAATGTGCAAGACTTTTAACGATTTAGGACCGCAAATGATTTTGAACCCATGCATATAAGACGCGAAATGATTTTTATGCCTTTTCTTCCCTTTTTACACTACGACACGAGAACCATGTACAATTTCCCTCCCTCATTTCACTTCTACGACCAACCTCATTTCAACGACCAATTTTATCCACTGCAAGCTGATGAACTGTGACAACAACAAGAACAACGTTTCCAAAAAGAAATATTGTTTTCGGGCATATGAACTTTCTGCTTTTTCTCCTTGGCGCTTACTGCATTTGATTCTTTTGTTATCTCGCGCAACGACACCATGTACGACCACCAACCAACAACCATTCTGAACCCCCGGGATTTATCTGCAATATCTTGGGAGTTTTTTTTTGTTTACAAGATAAAATGACTTTTCTATGTTTTCTGGCCAGTCAAATTATGGAGTTTTTACAGGTCGTCCGTTCTTTTCTTTATTTTATTTGAATCTTTACGTGTTGATTGATCTTGATGAATGTTTGTAACGTCTTTTCTTTGTCTCCTTGATGAACCCTTTTATGATGTTATGCTATGCTATTGAATTCGATTTTGTTGCTTTTTTATTTATTTCCTTGTGTCATTTGGATTTGCCTTTAACTGCTGATGAATTGTGTGATATGTGAACCGAAAGGGACGAACGGGTTGATCTGTAAAAACTTCTATTTTCTTCATCTTTTATGCTACTATTGCATCTTTGTTCTATTGGCTGGCATTGCAAAACAAAGGTCATTTTTGATACTCTCCTTTGGTTTGGTTGCTGACGAAAATTTACTTAATCGCCTACTTACCCCTGCTATCATCAACTTTGTCTTGGTGGTTTTCGCATGGCGCTTTCCCTCCTCGCCTGTACTTTAGCTTTATGATAGAACTGACTGACTCCCCATGAATGTCAATGATGCTTGAATGGATTGCTCTGTCTTTTTTTGTATAGTTCTATAGGTTTGTTTCATTCAGAATATAGGTAGTACTAGTTAACAGTGTGTATGGTTTGTATAGTATGCCAGAAATGCAAAATAACGTATGGAGACATGTATGATTCTATGTGCGTTCGAATGTTGTATATGGCAAAAAGACCGAGAAGAGAAAGTTAAAGGAAGTGGGATTATGCTTCTCTCCATGTGATGGAGAGCTCGAGAGGATGGTCGTCTTGCGTCGCAAAGACTTTGCTCTTCGTTGGCCCTTTGGGCGCTTTGTCAGCGAAGAAGGTCGTGTTGTCGTTGTAGGCGAGCATGCCGTCTTCGACCTGGAAGGGGTTAAACAAAGTCTACATCAGGTGTTTTGGTGGGGGTGCACGTGTATTTTGGAAGGGATGGGCCGGGATGCTTACAGTAAATTGAGTCGGGGACCTGATGAACCCGCCGCAGGTGAAGACATCATGCGAGAACCCGCAGTCCCCCTTGCTGGATTTCAGGGTGACAGTGTCATCTGCGGAGTCAAGAAGAGTCGTTAGTTAGTGACTGCCCACCTGATGGGGGGAAGCATCGCGGAGATTACATACCAGACGCCTTATTGGCCGTGAAAGTCGCACAGGTTCCCGAGGTGAACCACGCGCCGTGGCTGATGATGCAGCCTCGCTTCTGGCCGTTCGTTGAGATCATCAGATTTCCTTTTCCTGAAAAGGGAGCGCTCGGTGCGGTCGGCTCAGCAGGTCCGCGGGATGTCTTGGTGGGCTCGTGACCGTTTCGGGGAGTCTTGGGAATGTAGTGGATGCCGCTGCGGGGGCAGTTGGATGTTTGGCCATCTATTGTAGTTGTTAGTTTAAGCAACTTGTGGGGTGGCTGGCTTGCTGACCTGGATCAGATGGGACGAATTTGCCCGTCTGCAGTGGCCCGGCAATGTTGAAGTAGTACCAGACTTCGTTGATAGCCTGGTGTCGGCATCGGACTGTCACCTCGGCACCGTGGGCCTTGGAGAGAGCATTGACAATCTCATCGCGAGTGTAGGTTTGGGTGTAGGATGGGGTAATGCCGGCTTTGGCGAGGGTCTGAAGAGATAAATGTTTAGTTCCCTTTCTCTTCAACTAGTGCAGGGAGACAGACCTCGTAGGTGGGCAGGGTTCGGAAGACTTCGACTGTCCGGTCGAAATAGTCCACGACCTCTTGCTGTGGGTAGTAGTCGGTGTAGCAGTGTGTCTCTAGCGTGCTGACACAAGTGCCGTGCTTGTTCCACTCATGTTCCCAGAGATTTGCATCATCGCCCCTGAAGTCTTTCCAGAAGTCGCTCATGTAGTCCAGTAGATCTCCACGGCCAGAGTCGACTAGAATCAGCGAAATGTTGCTGTAACGTCTCCCGGAGTCGCAGTACTGATCGAAGCCGCCGTTGCAATGGTCGGGCCTATAAAGTGGGGAACGCATGTCAGTACCGGGTTGCAATAACATAGATTACATGACTGGTATGGGTTGGTGAAGACAGATCAGAGTTAACCTACCAAAGTCCATGAATAGTCCAGGAATCTGCTGGGCCAATGGCCGGATCAGCATCCCAGAACTGCGTCTGGAGCATCTGTCCGCCGGGGTAGTTGAAGCAGCAGGTATCCTGGCCATGGTACTGAGCCTTGCAGCTCACTTCGGAGGAAGGACATTGCCGGAAAGTGGCTTCAGACGAACTATAGTCTGAAACCGACAGCGACGAGACACCTAGAGTTCCCGTTATAGCTTTCAAGACCTGTTGAGGTCCTGGGAGACTCTGAAGCAGTCGGTCCCTCATGGAGATGGCGGTGGACCCGACCGCACTAGTGCTACCGGTATCAAGCATGGGGTTCTGAGGGTTGTTGTTGCTGCTCAGCAAGGAAATAGAGCAGACAATACAAAATAGAGATGAAGATGAAACTCTCAACGAAGCATCAATTGGCAAAGCAGTGGAAGACAAAGGGGGAAGAGAGGAAAGAGGCGAATGATTGAGTCCCAACAGCAGCAGCACGTGCATCCATCCCATGACTTGGTCTCCGTACCTGAGTCAGCGGCTTGTGATGTGACTGGTCCGATAAGCACCCTATCGTCGATCTCCCCGGATTGACTTGAAGCTTCTCTTATCGTGACCTAATAATGCATGCATATCGGAAATTGGACAACGCCTGGGGTATCATATTCGAAGAACTCCATGAGATGAGTATGTACATGAGTAGAGATGGTGGTTACATTCGAGAATTAGCGTCCAGTAATCTGCTCCTTCTTCGCCTCTTGTTCGTGGACGCGCTCTTTCCACAGCCGAAGGACCTCAAATCCTACCTCGACAGCAATGAGTAAGATGATAATCCACTCGAGGCGGAGTCCATGTGTTTCGCTCAGCCTTTCACGAAGCACGCTTGCGATTTCCTGTGCATAATCCATCTTCTCGTTCAAGAGCTTGATACGGATCCCCACATCGAGCGCTCGTCCTACCTGTTCATAGTACCCTTCTAATCCCAGCTCATGCCGACTGTCCCAGAAGATATCTGGCAGGGAGTCTGTGAGCTCCGAGTACAAGTTCAGCTGCGCACGTACACTGAGCAGCTGACCCGTTTTGCGAAGTATGAAGTCCCGAGTGAAGGGGAGACGTGAGCCCTTGGATAGGAGCGTGGGAATAGGTCGAGTAGACTCAAAGTAATTGGCCAGGAGAGATTCCAATACAGCCAATTTTGTACTGCGAGCCAGCCCTGACGAGAATGCCACCTTTGTAAGGACCGTATCTACAGACTGCCGAGCGGGTAAGTGGGAACTAGGCCCGTCATTACCCGGCTTGGTCCCCAGGATGATGGTGTCGCCCTTAATGCTGCTATTCTCTCGTTGAGAATCTTCAACATATTCAAGGTCCTCTGTTTCCAAGTCATCAAGGTGGGCCCCCTCAGCTGCAGGTAACAATGTCCTGGTTGCCAAAAAGGAAGTAAATCCTTCAGGTAGTGCCCATGCGACCACGGTTCCCGAGGGAAAGACAAACACATCCCCCACTTCGCTCGGTGACAGATCTAAGGTGTTCGGATTGCTCTGGCGGCGGATTGAGTCTAGGGGAACCTCAATGTGGACAACTTGTGGATACAGACCCGTCTCGTAGGGGTCCGGCTCGTAGCCTCGCTCCTGTAGGATGTCTCTGACTTTGCGAATATTGAATTGTTCAGCTACGGCATATGCTGTTACGGTCTTCTCATCAATAGATTAGCAATTATCCAAGGACGGTCGTGGCTCTTGACATTGGCACCTTGGGCTGATAGAGCCCCTGCTCCCTGAGCTGGGCTTTGGATAACATTCCATCCTTCGACCGTTGTGCCTCCACTGCAACTCTCCGGAGTGACGTCGATGCGGCCGGCGACCTATTGCTTCTTCTCCTTTGTTTCTGGGATTCTAGAACCGCCTCGTCGGTCGTGTCGCCATTTTTCATTTGCTTCTGATAGAGATATGCATTGGATGAGAAGAAGTCTTTTCGCCGGGGATAGCTCAATGGAGGGGTAGCGTGAAGATATTGGCTTCGGGGCTGCCTGAGAAACTTGACAGCCGAAGGCCGTGACGAAAGAGTGCAGAGACGTGGTCTTGCGAACATGATAGCAAACCAAGGGGAAAGAAACTCAGCCAAGCGCCAATTTCAGCCGTAGGATATTACCAAGAGAAAGCGATGCCATAACGAGGCACGTCCAGATCCGGAGAAAATCTTCTGAAGCTTTCTTTATTCGATGAGTTGTGCAGCAGAAAAGAAAGCCGGGATGGGGTATGGATGAGTCAGCAGGGCCCTAGCTGGATGCGGTGACGACCCTCAATGAAGCTCGCCCGACCGCCGGCAGTAACTGTTGGTTATCTACCCCAGCTCTGTCTAGCTGTGCTTCTGCTCGGCCGATGGGTGCCATGAAGCTGCCCATTGTCTGCACCAATATTCCTCACCTTTGATACTAGCTTCCTGCTCTCGCCATGGATGCGCCTGGCGCGACGCAGGCAAACGAGAGTGTCCCTCAGGACCGCCGGGACTCCGATCCCAATAACGTGGGCGACAATACATACCCGGACAGCGGGCGGTCCGACCGGGTCAATGACGAGGAAGACAGCCACAATGGGACCCAGAGTGAAGGCGATGATATCGACAAAGAACACGACGAGGACGGAACAGAGGAGGAGACTGATGAAGAAGAGGACGAGGAGCCCCGGCTCAAGTATGCATACTTGACCAAACACCTGGGGGCGGTGTATCGCAATGGAGATGCAACAAGCTCCTTTCTCGCGGCTGGGGACAAGATGGTATGGTATCCAGGCATTTCCTAGAAGGCGCATGATGCTGAGATAGTGTCTAGGTAATTGGAACGCATAATGGAAACATTGTAAGTAGCACTGTTACCGCATCGAATGATTGGAGAACTGACGCCGACCAGCATGTACTATCCGTTCCTCAAATGCGCTCTCTTCGCGTCTACCATGCGCACTCCGCCAGTATTACCTCGATCTCAATATCTCCGTTCCCTCCTCCGTTGCCCAGTCTCAGACAAGAGTACTTCAGCAGAGTCCCCGAAGACCAGGAATATTTGGCGCGGCCGTCGTCCGGCACAGCTAGCCTCCGCGGCCGGCATCGACCAGCTCACCAGCAAAGCCTACCTGCCACGCCATCCAATTCGATATACATTGCCACATCTTCTATGGACGGAAATGTCTGTGTCGCATCATTAGTTGACTCCAAAGACGTTCTCTTGCGGAATTTTGGCCGGCCCGTGCAGGCTGTCGCGCTCTCACCAGAGTACAAAAGTGACAGGGCGTTTCTGTCCGGAGGACGTGCAGGCGACCTGATACTTACAGTGGGCGGAAGAGTTGGTGCTAGCACGAATTCCACAACAATGGGAGGTGCTGCGGCTACGGCTTCGAGTTGGCTCGGATCTCTGGGGCTGGGAGCCAACACCGGCAAGGACACTATCCTTCACAGTGGGGAGGGCGCCATCAGTACGATCAAGTGGTCTTTGTCGGGGAAGTACGTCGTCTGGGTTAACGAAGAGGGCATCAAAATTATGCGATCGAACTTGTACCTCGATTCTTCCGATTCTGAGCTTGCCTGGAAGCGGATCAGCCACATTGACCGGCCCAACCTTCCAGGCTGGGAGGAAATGGCGGGAGTCTGGAAGGCTCGTGCTGAGTGGGTGGACGAAAAATCATTGAACATCGACACCGGTTCAAACAGTCAAGGAGGATCGTCTACAGCTCAGTCGACTGTTGTCAGAGAGAAGGTGGAAAAGTTGGTAGTTGGCTGGGGAGGCACGGTCTGGGTCATTGACGTATATCCGGATAGACCCAGCAAGAACAACAGGGACCTGAAGATCGGATCTGTTGAGGTTTCTACAATCTTGCGGACCGACTGCGTTATATCTGGCATCTCGCTATATACCCCTAGTCTACTGGCCGTCCTTGCGTACATTGAGGCGGAAGAAGACGTCTCGGAAGAGCGGACCAAGCTAGGAGGTCGCCGTCCGGGAACGCGCCGCCGGCCAACGGGCTTGGAGCCTGAACTGCGGATCATCGACATCGAAACGAAGGAGGAGCTTAGTGCTGATACCCTTTCAACCAGTCGCTATGAGACCCTCACTTCCTCAGACTATCATATGTGCGTCCTGCCTCCTTGGAAATCCAGCGCTCCTGTTTCGCAACGTGGCGCCTTAGAAGCTCTGGGGAACGGTCTCTGGGATGCAACGCTCTACCCGGCACGTCTATTCAACTCTGCCGCTAGCATTCGCAGTACAACGAGCAGTGACAAGGGATCCAGCCGGGCGCCGAGCACTTTTGCCTCTCGAAGGTTTTCTTATGAGGAACCCCTTTCCAAAGAAATCCAGGACATTGCAGGGAGCGTGGGCCCCAAAATCTTCGTCCACAGTCCATATGACTGCGTTGCTGCCCTGAAGAGAGACCTGTCTGATCGCCTAGCCTGGCTAGACGCGCACGAGAGATATGAAGAAGCATGGATGCTTCTCCAGGAGCATCCTGAGGCGGCGGGGTCGGCGACTGACATGAACGAGCAAATTCCGGAGACGCCGTCAAGATCGCAGAGCAGTAGCGTTGGTGAATCCTTCATTGACGATAGGTCTTCCATCACAACCACTGGCCGGAACATTGCTTCTACTCCTGCTGTCGAGCAGGAAAAGCGCCGCATTGGCGAGTTGTGGATCGAGCAACTTGTTGATGAGAACAAATGGGCGGAGGCCGCCGAAGTTTGCGTGAAAGCAATTGATACCGCGAGCAGGTGGGAGCATTGGGCTTGGACCTTCATTAAGCACGATAAGCTGGACGAGATCTCGTCTGTCATGCCCGTCAACTTGCGCCCCAGTCTCCCCGCAAACATCTACGAGACCATCTTGGGGCACTATGTCGAGCACAACAGGTCAAGGTTCAGCGATCTTCTGGACTCCTGGCCTTTCGACCTCTTTGACGCCAATAATGTCGCAACAGGAATTGAGGAGCAACTGAGATATGACTCGGTAATCCCGGACACAGAGGACTGGCGAGTCCTGACAAGGTGTCTTGCCAAATTGTACCTCGCAGGAGGCCACTACGGCAAAGCACTGCACTGCTATATTCGCCTCCAAGACGCCGACACAGCGATGGCCCTGATCAAGGACCACCGACTGCTAGACACCCTCACCGACGATATTCCCGCATTCATTCTCATACGCGTGTCCAAGGAACAGCTGAAATCAGCACCTGTCGAGGAACTCGAAGAGCTCACCGCAGAGCCCATCCGGCTTCTAGTCAGCGAAGCATACACAGGCATAGTCCGGCCTGAGATCGTGGTCGATCAACTCCAAGCCGCAAACAAACTCCTATACCTCTACTTCTACATGCGGGCCCTCTGGCGCGGCGAATCACTGCCTCACGGCGCCGCAAAACCTCGCCGCGGTCATTTCGCTCACATCC